CCCTACTCACCCAGCTGAAAAGGAAATTAAGTCCCAGCGCTACTTACCACTGGAGTTGAGAAGGGAGAGAGCAAAGCTTTCCTCTGCTGAGGGATCCTGTAATTCTGGTACAGAAGCCTTCCGTACTGGAGAGGAAAGGTCTGAGTTAGTCACCGGTCCTTTGTGCGCCTGCAAATCTTCAGCGTGTGGCAAAGCTCTTGGTAGTGAATGGTCAAGTCCAGCACAGAGACTGTTCACTGAAGAGCAACACCCCATATGGCCCACTTTTCTCTCTCAGTCTTGCACATCGTCACTCACAGAAGAGTAACGGCTCACTGGTTTTGGAACACTGGGGAGGGGATTAAGGGGATAGAAATAGATGCACTAATGATATGGCCAACAACCTTAATGAGTGTTGGTATAGGTCAAGTGCTCTTCTAATTGCTTTAAGTTATGATTTCATTTAATCCTCTTCATGGTGTGAGACATGCATTATTAATATCATTGCTCGAAAGGATAGATAAGAGAACTCAAGCACAGGCAAGTGAAGTATGCTGCCTGAGACAATGGCAAGTAAGTACTCGGGATTTGAAAGTACACACCCTGCTCCCTTAACCCGGGCTTTTCCTAACTCCTAAGATTACCTGAATGCCAGCTCAGTGGTTCACGCTTTATTCACCCTCCCAATTAAGTAGTAAAGATTTTGTAAAGACACATATCCTTCTAACACCCCAATTAAACTCTGAAATGACTGATAAACTACTTAAGAAAAAAACCACAAAAGAAGAGGCAGGAAAAGGTAAGTTATTGAGTGGGCTTTCTCTCCCACTTGACCTTCCTTTATGAAATGTCAAAACAGTTCCACATCTTGTTCTGCAGCCAAACAGTAATTTCTAAAATAAAAACACTAGGAACACGATGAAAAGATTTACCATAGATACAACTGCACTCCTTGAGAAAAGAGAGATTAAAGAAGGAATATAGAAGAGCTAAGAATTTTCAAAATTGACAAAAACCAACAAGCTAGAGATTCAACGAGCATGAAAAATACAAATAAGCCCATATCCAGGCACCTCCCAAGGTTTAATGAAAAACAAAGATAATTTTAAAGCCAACTTAGGAAAAACAACCATTTTCAAAAGAGCAACTGGTAGACAGGAATTTTTGTTCATAGATGATTAGAGTCGGAAGATGATATAATATGTGAAAATGCAACAGAAAGTAACTACAATGTAGAGCAATTTGTGGGAAGAGCCTGTCAGTTACAAAGGTGAGAGAAAAATACTATACAAAGACCAGTTGATACATTTGATACAGAGACCCGTTGATACATGTTCCAGGAGGTCTACACTAAAAAAGCTGCCAAGTGACATCATTTTGGTCTCCTGAGAGAAGAATGTAATTCCGTAAAGAATAAAGTACAAACAGGGAATTAAAGTAAAACATTGAGTATATAAAGCAACAAATGTATGTTAAGGGCTTTAAAACAGATAAACCTTAAACCCAGTGCTATCAAATCGATTTTAATTCATAGCAACCATACAGAGCAGAGCAGAATTGCCCCCTTTGTGTTTCTGAGACTGTACATCTTTATGGAAACAGTCAATTTCATCCTTTTGGTGGGTGGCTGACTTTGCAGTTATTGGCCCAATGCATAACTGGCTCTGAGCTCAAAGCACATGACAAGAATACTTCAAAACTGGTGAGGGGGTAAATGAAGCCTCTTTATGTTGAGCTGGAAGTGGTAAAAAGTACTAACCTATGTTAAATTTTAATAAGCTAAATATGCTGTGATTGGAGTCTAGAATTACCAATGAAAATGGTAAATAATGCTACCAGTTAATGTAACAAAAATAAATAAAAATACTTGATGAAGTTTTTAAAATTGAGAGAAATATAAACCAGGTGGGATAATTTGAAAATAAGTAGCAAATGGCCTATTTAAATTAAAATAACATTAATGATCATGTTAAATGATAAACTTGAATCATAACAAATACCCCAAATAAATGGTGTTTATTATCAACAGGAAAATAAACATTAAAAAAACTCAAAAAACAATGAAGTGATGCTTATAAAATATATATATGTAGAGAGAGAGGTCCTAAATATATGGACCTAGAAAGGTAGAAAAATGGGGAGGAAAAACATTAAAGCTCATGCATGTTTATATAGCTGAGACTTGTATGGGGGTGTGGTGGGGCCAGAAAGAATGAAACATTTCCCAAAGGGCCTTTGTTCTCAGTTGCTAGGAGATACCCTCTGGGCTTCTGGAACATCCTGGCTGATTCTTTGTTTACCTACAGGTGACCTTGGTCCAAGCCACACAGTCCACATCGGTGTGTGGTTTATATTAAAGGTCTTCGGACAACAGTATAAATTCAAACCCTGGAGAACTAGAGACTAAGTTCAGCCACCAGATAGCAGTTTTATCTATACTCCTGGCCCCAAATAAAAACCATGGACGCCAAATTTTTCTCAATCACAATTATTTTGTGTCTGTTGCCAATCAGGCTGCTTGGAAAAGGAAGTATTGTGCGCAGGACTCCACAGAAAGGGGGCAACTAAAAGCTGCCCCCCACCCCACCCCGAACGCTCCAGGATGCTG